CTTGCGACCCTCGGCCTGGCCTCCGCACCGCCGCTCCGCCGCGCTTCCTTCCCGGCCTCCGCGCCCAGCCCTGGGCTCTCCCACTTCTTCTTTAGCACGCTCAGAGTCCCCCTTCTAAAGTGAGGGGGGAGATTTTCTGCGCTCTGAAAAAGGACAAGAAGTTAATTCCAGTTATATGCCTGGTGAAGCATTAACGCGCCTCCTTTCTATGCAAAGGGACGATAAAGGCTCAGTACCGATCTCAGCTCTCTGCTTTTTCAGACAGCTGTGAACAGTTACAACTGTGCCACATGGAGCAAGCATCCAGGATAGGGGAGGAAGGAGGGGGGAGAAGAGAAAAGTCGGGAGCTAAAGCAGGAAGTGATCAAACAGGATGGCCTTATAAGGAAAAAGGGAGTCAAGGTCTAATGAGTTAAATGACACACAAAAGGCTTGAATCTACACATGAAGGAGAGGGACCAAAATCCACATAACAAGGGTCTCTAGTCCTAAACGAGGCAAACACCAGAAAAAGCAGCCATATGAGAGATGGGTGGTGTGCCATATGTTGCAACCTCTTCCAGCTGTTTCTGAAGACAACAATTAGTAGGCCCTTCCAAAAAGCTATAGATCATCTTTCTGAAACCACTACTTTTTTGGAGTTGTGTATTTCTACTATGAGTTAACTGCAGCGTTTTAGTTGCAAGAATTCTCCATCATCCATATTTTATACCATACAATGTAAGGCGCAAGCTAAACAGTAATTTCTTTGTGCTCGTGTTTACAAATACCAGATAATTTGGTGGAATTTTTCTTCTATTTCGCACAACACATTGCAAGCTCTAGACGGGATACAAACACACAAACCACAAGCTCTGCCTTACCATTGTGAGTTTGATGGCAATACACGGAGCAGTACTCCTCAAATTCAAGTGCTTTCCAGACTAGTTTTGCTTACAAGTGGTTACCTCTCCCCAGAGTAACAGACCACCCCACGTTCGATTCATTCAGATCTAATACCTGCCAGCATGGCATTTTTTGCTGTCTGTCTCTTATGGAAACCACTATGAATCAAACTCACTGCAAGTGGAACAGGTCTGCAAGGCTTACAGGAATTAACCAGGATTAGCAGCTATATTAGGATTTAAGTCTCTCACCCTATTACTCTTCTGGTCACATTTTGAACGCTGCTTTGCAAGTTAACTTGAATCCACCCAGACTTCAAAAAGATCAGTGTGTTTGCTGACTGTATTTAAAAGAAAGCACTAAAGTTATAGGGCAAATGTTGCAACATAGCAGAAGTAGTCAAAACTGCACGTCAGGTTGCTACAGGAACATCTCTGGACACCAGGCACATTGCTGCCTATGAAGTCCTGGTATACCTCATAACACAAGTCATTCTTGCTTGGGATTTACCTGTCCAGATCATACAAGCAATGAAGAAAATTTAAGACTGGATAGTAATCTTCACTAATGTATCACACCTTTATCCTGAACAGGAGGATGACTCCTCAAGCATTAAAGAAATCAAGGATGCACGTACTGAAAAAGACTTACCTATATATCCCGTAAATATCCCTCATCTTTTTAAATGAATATTAAACTGAGGATCTGCTTATAGACACAGACCTGCAGCGTTAGTGCTTGATCTTCTACCAGGGTCCCCTGGTCCCAGAACAGTGAGTGCGTGTAGTTCACAGGAGGGAATGCGAGGCTGTAACAGAGCCAAAAGGAGGGCTCTCCCCTCATCCAGGGGCATTTTGAACCCCATAAACCACTTCAGAGATGATTCCCCTGCATGGATTCTACAGTTATCAGATACACACATTAGATTTCAGAGAGGCTCACAGATTCTTTTAAGCAGACCTCTAAATTTAGTTAGGAAGAGGTACCACATAATTGCCTACAGCTAAGAACAAAGAGGTGGATATTCATGTGTTGTGGTTAGAACTAAAGACACAGCCAACTGGTTTTGCCTTTTGCTGAAGACTGAATTGGTGCTTCAACATATAGCTTTGGGCAAGTCACTTGATTTTCTTGTGTTTCATTCACTCTGGAAAAGGGCAAGGGGAATGGGCCAAAGGCAGAAACTGTGTCTAAGCCAAGTTTTCTGTAGGATACACAGCAACACCTTTGATATTCCCCAAAGCAACTGTCACAGGAACAAGGCGTGTAGGTGATTTGTTCTGATTGCAGGCTGTTGCTTATTGCCTAAGAAACAAATACTTACATTTCTTTTTTTCTCAGCAGTGGCTTCCTCAGCTGCTTTCTGATACCTTTGTGAAAGAGGAAGGAGGGGAAAAAAGCAGTTTTAGTCAGAATACTGAATGCTCTTGAAGACAGCTGAGATTCTTTCTCCAGCAAAGATTTCATGCACTTCCCAGACCTATCAGATAAAACCAGATGCTGGAAAAATAGTAGTAAATAGTATCTCAACAATGCAAAGTGGTAGAGCCATTTTAAGCCGTTCAGCTTACAGTAATAGCATGCATTAATAATTTTCATTATCTAAACACTCTGAGTCTCAAATACAGACAGTTTACCTTGGAATGGCTCTATTGTTTCCCCCACGCAGCTGTCTACTCTGCCCCCTTGCAAGAATAACTCAGCTATTTATACAGCAGCTGCTG